CCCTACAACCTAAGAAACTCGGCACTTGTTATACCCTCTCCTGCATCTTCCTGCTGTACAATGAATTGTACAGCATTGAACATGTACTTCGATAAATATCCTCACCACAATTAAAAGTACTAGTTAACTGGAACATTTTATCGGAGAATAGTGGACAACACTCCAAAAACAAACCTTCCAACCAAAAAGACGCATGTTTTGTGCAAATTTGGAAAAGCACATTAACTTACAGTTCGACGCAACATCTGAGTAATGTCCTGTGCATGTATACAGTGAATGCACTGATGAACTCCAAGTTTAAATATGAATTCCTGAAGGGTTAATAACAGGCCGATAGTCCCCGATTGGACTATTGTCCACAAAGCACATAGGTAACGCTGGAGAGTCTTGATGATGGGCGAATCACACACAATTATTCTATGCACCGGCATCATATTGGCTTTAACCGAGTTACTGTGTTTTCGTTGTGCACAACATTTAGTCAGCTTATACTACGCTCTGCCCGAGGGCATCTGCTGCCGGTAGAAACCCAGGACCACTCTCTTTGCTAGTGCATGCTTGCATTTTTATATAGTATATTACCATTTCATCTTCAAGTTTTAATCGTTGAAATGTAGATTAAATTGCACAAAAACCAGAACATCCAAGGCGGACAAAATGGCGCCGGAGACTGTCTCAAATGTTGGGAGCAGACGTAAAGACCCGTAATCACGCTGTCTTGATTATGTGTTGCAAGGTGCACCATCGATCGGTACAAAGCCCGTGAGTGATGGGTTTGATCAAACCGCCGGCCATGGCTAGTGTTCTACCCTATCACTCTGTTAAGCCCGAACGCCACACGCCATATTATCCCTCTCTTGAGGCCACAATCTGATTGGCCCAATATTTACGCTATGTCTTCTTCATTTACGTTGCATTAGTTTTGCTGAAATAGTTCTACTTTTGTGGAAATAAAAAGGGCGTTCTGAGATGGCTTTTGACAGCAATTACTAAATACAGCTCCCAGTTTCTCAACGACATTTAAAAAGCCCTTTAAGCAAATGCAGCCGACTCTGCGATTTTCCGAGATGTTTGGCGGCAACATTTGAAATGCGTGTCACACTGTTTTTACTTTTCAAGGTGGGTCTGTGGGCAGACGAAGCTGGAGAATATCCTTACTGTGGAGGCACTCTGATCAGCGACTCCATCGTCGTGACTGCGGCACATTGCATCGAACCCCTCCTAAGATGTTCACAGCTGCCACCACAAGGGACGCCCTTTAGCATACCAGACACGCATGGTCACCGATTGCGTGTACTTGTCGGCGCTCATGGCTATATGGAGGCTGATCCCACAACACATTTGCATATGGTAGCCCGCGCAGTCATCCATCCGCAATTCAACATATCCGATCTTTCCTATTGCACTGACATTGCAGTCATAAAGCTTCATGAGGGCACGCCTACAGGTACGTGATCGTACTACTGCCTGTAATTTGTCCATGCATTTTCATGAACATTCGCCTAAAATACGAGAGTTGCGTATACGCCTTGTATGAATAAACCTATCACAGTGGTTATTTAATCGGTTAAACCCCAGCCAGTATGATCCTCAATTCCGGTCCTTTGTCGGCAGAGATGAATTGGGACATTAAGTGGGTGAACTAGTTTATTCTGTACAGACGGAGTGGATAATAGACTGGACTGGTAGGTGGCCGGCTTCTGAGGTCCAGAACGTCGGTGGCCGTGACATGCTGTACTCTGAGTCAGTCAAACGGATTTGTCAGGTTCGTGCATGCACAAGTCTCTTCAGCCGCCAAGGGGTCGAGTGTTGGCACGGCTTGCGGTCCCATATGACCATGCCTGCTGTCCAATGACGTGACGTGGGAGTAAGAGGCGGAGTTATATGGCCAATGCAAGTCTTCACACCCAGAACTTAGACGCGTATCCACTTCTAGGAATTATTAAGCGGTAGATATTGGTGAGGTCAGCAGCGAATACCAAAGGTAAACACGACAGTTTGGAGTTTATATTTTCAGCGCCGGTACGGCACTATCTGTACAAAGTTAAT